TAGGGTTTAATTAGGGTTTAGGGTGTCGGGATAATTAACATCATCCACGCCATCATCAAATAAATTCGCAGAAGAAGCATGCAGGGGTCCGGATGCGTCCGGATCAAATGGGTGATGAAAATGCTGAATGTCGAAGATCGAGCTTCCCTGCAGGTAGGCAAAGCTATCCAAGCAGGTTCTTCCATTCTATCGTCTTGACGGCTTCTCATCGCATGCATGGGGAGGTCGTGCTGCCAAATGCATCGCACGGGCTCTTGCGCATCACGAGCCGATGTACCCCCCCCCCCCCCCACGCCCCCCTTTGCGTTGCGAGGGGGAGGGGCGCCGGGGGAGGCCCCATCAAAGGGGGGCAGTCTGGGTCGGCAGAGACTACGTTGCTGAGAAGTATCCGTAGTGGCATGACGACGTGTGGATATTTCTACTGGGCTTTTTCAGATCTTGGGTTTGGGGTTTAGGGTTTAGGGTTTTTCTACTGGGCTTGGGGTTAGCACGGATTGTCTATATGGGATTTCCGAAAATAGGGGACCCTAATATAGTACCCCCAAATAGTAGGATCCTTACTATAAGGACCCCCAAAGTAAGGTACCCCTAATTTTCGGAAACTCCCATATTCATACTTTCCTCTTGTAGGATAGGAAGGAGCAGGCCTCGACGACCTGTGCGCAGGAGCGCGACTTCTGCAACCATGTGGCATAGTGCCGGAAGACGTACTGATATCCTTGGAGGTCAGGGTTTCATCATGAGGGTTTAGGGTTTAGGGTTTAGGGGTTTAGGGGTTTAGGGGTTTAGGGTTTAGGGTTTAGGGTTTTGACTACAGGTGGGGAGTTTAGGGTATATAGGGCTTCTATATGTAAGGCTTCCATAAGGTATATAGACCTCCTTTAAGGCTCCCTATAACGGTAACTACCCACCTGAAAATGTCCAGGAGTCCTAGACAGTAGCCCCTTAATAATGAGGATACCCTTGTTCCTACTATTTAGTTTTAATAAGGGTACCATACCATAAAAAGGGCCAGAAGGGTACCACTGAGGAACCTAGTCAAGGCTAGACTATGGAAGCCTGGCAACGGAAACGCAATAAACCATCCTAAACCCTAAACCCTCAACCCCAAACCCTCAACCCTCAAACCTAAACCCTAAACCCTCAACCCTAAACCCTAAACCCAGCTCTGCTTCGATGGGCCGAGGTAAGGTTCTGCAGATATGCTCAGCTTCTCATGTGGGTAGTTATGGTCCCTTTCTGGGTTCCTCAAAGGGATCCATGAGGGTTTCTATAAGGTTTCTACAACGGTTTCTATAAGGGTACTCTAAGATTAGTTCTCTGAATTAGGATCCCTTTTGGGCTCGTTTCTATAAGGGTGCCGTACTATGTTGGGGACCTAAAAAGGGATATTTTAATCTAGAGAGCTGCCCATGTGAGAAACAGCCTCAGATCCTTGCTCCCAATGGCTCAAAACAAAAGCTGAGCTCACCGCGAAATGCTATGTCCAAGGCCTTAGAAGCACAGCACATTAATGTAGTCGTCAGAGCAACATCCGTGCAACAGTGTAGCTCTCCCAGAGAACCCAATACCCCTTAATTAAGGAATATACCTTAAATCATAATAAGACCCCTATAATTTAAGGTATATTCCTTAATTAAGGTGTATTGGGTTCTCTGGGCTCCCGCCGTTCTAAACTTCTGAGAAAAAGAGGGAAGAAGCCCCTCGCTCTCACTCACGTCACCTCCCCTCTGTCCTTCTTCCCCCCCCTCGCTTACGAGGAGCTTCTAAAAAGACTCGTAGAAGTCTCGGGCCATGCTTGCTTCATGTCTCAACTTCCAGATCTTTCACATGGGCAGGGAGACGACATGAAAGTCAGAGGCAAAGCCCCTGAAGAGAGAGGGCTCGCTAGGGAAAGAGCTCAGCTGCGGAGGACGCAACCGCGTGGAAAGTCCGCCTTCCTCTGCCTTCTGAACAGAGAGAGCAAGAAAGTCAGAAAAGCTCACCTTTAGCTCTTCTGGGTTTAGGGTTTAGGGGTCTTCCTTGTTTTGGTTACTTTTTTCTTTTGAGAAAGCAAGATCGACAAAGCTTGGAGATGGCGACATGCCTGCCCTCGTTCCTTGTCTGGCCGGTATTTCTTGAAAAACAGCGATGACGATGTTCAGGGTTTAGGCCAAGTTTAGGGGGCTTTAGTATTTAGGGTTCAGGGTTTAGGGGCACTTAATGAAAGAACAAGGAAGACAGGATAAAAAGGAAAGGGGAGGAAGAACGGTGATATTCGTGTCGCGGCATCCTTCTTCTCCGTTTTGTCGATTATTCGAACAGGAAAAGCATGAGACCCACATTAAGAGAGAAACGGGGGGCAAACCACTCTGATACGAACCAGAGAGATACGTACCGGATTGGTATTTTCTCACAGAGAGAAGGAAACAAGAGGCCCCAACACAGTAGGATGCACAGATATGTAAGGACACTCCCTTTGCCTAAGTCTGCTCCATTCCTCTTCGAAGGTTAGCGAAACATATCCTAAGGCCTAAACCCTAAACCCTATACCGCGGCTCTTCGTTAAGATCTCAACAAGTAAAAGCAGAATCGAAAAAAATACCCAACTCAGAAACCAACCAAGAGCCTCATCGCCTCGGGTTTAGGGTTTAGGGTTTAGGGTTTAGGGTTTAGGGTTGAGGGTTTAGGGTTTAGGTTTTAGGGTTGAGGGTTCAGGGTCCAGGGTCTAAACCCCCCCCCCCACCACACACACACACGAGAAACTGGTAGCCTGGGGCGCCCGCCCAGCAGTATGGCCTCGGCACTCTAGCAGGAGCCTTGGCTGACTTCTGAACCCCTCCTAAAAGTTAAACTTCTAGCACCCTTATACTAGTTCATATGAACAACCAAAAAAGTTAAACTTGCAGCACCCGTATTTTAGCTATATGAAAAAACCCAAAACGTTAGAGTCCTAGGAGCCAGCCAGAAGAACGCCAAGGAGCCTTGTCTATGCAGTAGCCGTTGTCGTAGCTGACCTGGCAACCTAAACCGCTAAACCCTAAACCCTAAACCCTAAACCCTAAACCCTAAACCCTAAACTTACCTTTAAAAGTTCCGGGTCTGGCCCCAAGCTCGGGGTTTAGGCTTTAGGGGGCTTATCGGGCTTACAGGGTTTAGGGGGTTTAGGGGGTCGGTTTAGGGTTTAGGGTTTAGGGTTTAGGGTTAGGGAGTTTAGGGGGTTTAGGGGGTTTAGGGGGTTTGGGTCTAGGGGGTCTAGGGGTTTNNGGTTTAGGGTTTAGGGGATGTTCAGGCCTAGATACTTCTTGTCTGGATGCCACGGTTGCTTTTCAGAAAAGTAAGGTTCTAAAAGAGATTTTGGAAAACGGATTGACTGTGGGATTTCAGGTACATGAAAACGTGATGCTTAGTACAACTACCATAAGGAACCCCAAAGAACAGTAGGGTTTAGGGTTTAGGTTTTAGGGTTGTAATTCAAGCTTCTGTATCAATGTAGAAACTGGTTAGGAAACCTCTTGTTCTTCATAAAGGCGGTGGGTTCCGGCATTACTTGTACCTGTGGAATCCACCGTGCACCACGACGCGATCAAAGCTCCCGAACTCTAGCAATCATACTAGTCGTTATTTGGCCTCTAAAGCTTCCAGCAATCACTTGCACGAACCGTCGTGTGGGGCGCACCACGCAGAGGAGTCGCGGAATTGTCTTGGACAATCCACCCTCAGCATCCTGTCAGATTGCGTCGCTTCTACCCTAAACCCTAAACCCTGAACCCTAAACCCTGAACCCTGAACCCTAAACCCTAAACCCTAAACCCTCAACCCTAAACCCTAAACCCCTAAGGGTTTAGGGTCTAGTTAGGGTTTAGG